CCCCCCAAAAAAAAAAAACCCAAAAAACAAACAAACGATAAAGACACCAAAAACATAACCCAACCAAATCTTGGACTGTATTTTCTTTCAATCTTTGGCTGTTTTTGAAAGAATGTTCGGTTTCAGCGGACTCCTGTAACAATAACAAGCAAAGGGATTGTGAGCTTGCTTCGAAGTCACAAGAATATTTTGAATTGAGCAGTTCTCCAATAGGAGGAGCACTTTGAAATATATTTTATATTAGTATTTTTAAAAAGAAATTATTCTTTGTACTTATTTGTTTTGAAATAAATCATTTACATGTGAAATGAAAAGCTCAATAAACAATGTTACTTATTTTTGAATGACTATTGGTTCATATTCATTAGATTCTATCTCACTTAGTGTATAATACATAGTACAATAGTAGGAATAGGAACAAAAAGTTGCCCTACTACTACTACATCACTACATACTATATTACAACAGTGACGGCAATAAAGGGCAAGGTGGTCATGCAGTGGTCAATTTTTTTCGTCACACCCAGAAACGTTTTGTGCTGATTCTGAATTTAGAACTCTGACTTGTCGTAGACTTTCCTGGAGATCTTTTCTGTCTCACCCCCGTCCCCTTTAGTTTCTCTCTCTCTCTCTCTCTCTCTCTCTCTCTCTCTCTCCCTCTCTCCCTCCCTCCCTCCCCCTTCTCCTTCTCCTGCCTCCTCTCTCCCCGGGCGTTGATCAAGTGCCCTAGGGTCAGCAGAGTTTGGATTTTGTTCTGTTATTTTCGTCGCGTTCGCTCATCTGTTTCCGCCACGTGATACCACTTAACGTAAGACCAGTAACAGCAGAAGATAACCACAGCTTTCCCGCCGCCACCGGCCATGAGTGCATGTCATGGAGGATGTTGATAACATGCAAAATTAGTATGGTTGTCGTTGAGTTAAGCACTTGTCTACGTTTGCTGAAATTGTCCAAAGTTAAAGGCAGTGTGCTGTTCCATTCGTATTTTTATTAGTTGATACCACTTTGCTACTGTGTTTAAACATTCCTGGGCCATTCCGTTAAAAGTAAAACTACTACAGTGACACACGAAGCGCAGAGATGATGCCATGTGGGGAAAAAAAAGAAAAAGAATGTAAGCATGCACGTAATATATAATTTTTATTTCTAGTTTTCAATTTTGGCATAAAATATAATTCGACCGTGATTTCAAAATCAAACAATAATTTGATGCCTGGTCGAATCTGTCGTATTGTGTTAAAATTGTATCTTTTGTTGGGAAAATCTGGCTAGCCCCGACTGAATCAAATGAATCCTATTGGCAGTGTGCACTGGGTTAAAGGCTTAGTTCATCAGAAACCAAAGTTTGTCAAAGTTGATTTCCGTTTCATGTATATGATGTTTTGGGTGCTTTAGCCACTCTTGAATTTCTGATTCAACACGACCGTGCTTGTTTGACTCGCTAGACCAGAGACCAGTGTGTACCCCCACTTATCTTTGAGTGCAGAGCTCTTACTCGTGGTGACGTCAGATGGACTCTGGGAATTCCGTGTGCCGTATGCATCTCACGTTGATTTCATCTCCTTTGAATCGTTTTGCACTCGTTTTGAAAGAACTTTATAAGCTGGATATCACGTGCGCGCCATAGACATGTGTACCAAATGTATATATGTGATTGATAATTATATAGTACAAGTACATAGCGCGCACTGTGTTGGTAGGTCTTGCTTCTTCTGTTCTTTCGTTCTTTTGTCCATCATGTCAATCTGTCTTGCGCTCATGGTGTTTGGAGGGAGCCTCTGGTAGGTGTCCTACTTCTTTTCTGTCACTCTGATGTTTCGGTCTGTATGTCTTACTTTTTCCATCACAAAACGACAGTTATCAAGTGTCGACGTGCTTCTATTTACTTCAACAAACAACAACCACAACAACGTTTGTTTTGTTTCCTCCATGCACTTGAACGTGATTGTTATTTTTTTAGAAAATGCCTCTCTTTACTAATCTACAGTGGAGTACGCTGAAACGGAAATATGTGGGACCACCAGATTTTCTTCAGTTTATCTATGTTTTCGACTTACGGACGTTGCTCAAATTAAAGACCACCCCCCCA